GAAGAGACAGTAAAAGGGAACAGACTTGTCGAACGTGACGTCCTGAGAGGGGAAGACACGGCGCGAGGTGGGGTGGTAAAACTGCCAACCAGGCGCGTCAGGGACAAAGCCAAGGAAGACACAGGGAACAGCGCGGGCGGAGAGCTTGTCCGCGGTGGTATCGCGGACAAAGGCACGAGCACCCCAGACCCGGAAACGCGACGCATCGCCAACCTTCCCCGTCCACAGCAGTGTGGGCGAGGTCTCTGGCAAGGAGACACGGGGCCAGAGGTTGAGCTGATGCGCGGCGTACCGGACCGCAAACGGCCACAGAAAATGGGGGGCAGCCGCATGGATCATGGAGGTACGAGCGACCTCCATGACTAAGCCAATGCAACGCTCAGCAACCCCATTCTATTGCGGAGAGGCCGGAAGCGTGAACGACTGGGTGATGCCGTGCTCCTCACAGAAGGCTGCGAAGAGGTCGGAGGAAAACTCACCACCTCTGTCAGAGTGCAGACGCAGGACGGGAAACTCCGTCCCGAACCGCTTGCTGAGCTGGAGACGAGCAGCGCGGATCCAGGGGATCAAAACATCAGGGACCTCACCCTTGGTGCGCAAGGGGAAGACCGTGGTGTAACGCGTGTAGTCGTCGACGACCAGCAGGATGTACCGCTCGTGGCCCTGTCCACGGACGCGGGCTGGGCCCCACACGTCCAGGTGGAGAGTCTGGAGGGGAGCCTCTGTGGGAGGGAACGAGGAGGAGTGAGGAGCGGCGCGCTGCCGCCCCTCGACACAGGGAAGACAGGGAGGAGCAGGCGAGGGTGGGAGGGGAGGGAGAACCCTGGGAAGACCAGAGACAAGGACACGGCGGTGCATGCTGCGAAGGCGCTGCACCGAGGGGTGACTAAGACGGTGGTGCCAAAGGAGGGTCTGGTGCGACAAGGCGCAACACGAGCAGAGGGCCGCCTACTGACCTAACGCAACTGCAGACGCAGTTACCTGAGGGGACTTAGTGGTCAGTGTGTACAGGCCCAACCCCGGCTGCCGAGTGAAGGTAGCCAGGTGACGACCTGTCTGAGCACACGGGCAGTGTGTCACACGCTCGTAGGCAGGGGTGAACTGGTTAACACCCGCGTCCTGGAGCGCAGAACCCGCCACCAAGTTCGTAGAGAACGAGGGGAGGTGAAGACCCGACAGTGTGCCGGACGGGATAGCAGGACAAGGGAGGACAGTGGAAGAGGTTGCACGGATTGGACCCCCAGAGGGGTCTGCCAGAGAGACTGGAACCGGCCGACTAAGCGGCGTGAGGGAGGTGCTGTCGCGAAAGAAATAGCGAGGAGCACCAGAGTCAAGTGTGAAGGTGTACAAGGCCTGAGCAGGCGCAGTACCAGAGAGAGCAGACTCACCAGCACCAGGAGCAGCAGCCTCACCCATACCTAGAGCAGGAGACACACTAGCCCCTAGAGCAGCAGCCTCACCAGCACCTAGAGCAGCAGGCTCTATACCTCGGTCAGGCGGTACGCACGGGTAACAGGCACGGTCGGCACTAGTAGGCAATGCATACATGGCTGTGAGAATAGCATCATAGTCAAGAGCAAAGATATCTACCCTCTGCCCAAGCAGCTCCACCCAGTCGGGGAGCTCAGCCTCGTCGCCAAACTCGGTACGCCAGGCGTCGCTCAGACGGGCAAAGCAGCGGGAATGTGTGTGACTGAGCGTCCCGCAAGCCTGACCAGTCCGATCACCTGTGCGAATGACGTACGGGCAGCGAATGGTACTCAGAGACCCTCTACTCTGAGCGTACCACTCGTGAAGCTGCTGGGACGTAAGTGTCTCGCATGGACGCCGCTGCAGCTGCAGCTGGCCATTGCCAGACTCTCCCGACTGACCAGCTCTAGGGCGACAGCTACGACGGCTACCACGACAACCCCAACTAGCGTACCACTCACTAAGCTGCTGGGGCGTGCGAGACTCTCGCGGACGTCGCTGGAGCTGCATCTGGCCACCGCCAGTAGCAGCAGTAGTAGTAGTAGTAGCAGCAGTAGCAGAAGTAACAGCAGTAGCAGCAGTAGCAGCGCGGCCACCCCTACAACCCCAACTAGCGTACCACTCACTAAGCTGCTGGGGCGTGAGGGACTCACGCGGACGTCGCTGGAGCTGCATCTGGCCACCGTCAGTAGCAGCAGTAGTAGTAGCAGTAGCAATAGCAGTAGTAGCAGCAGCAACGCGTGCAGGGCAGGCGCGGCAGGCGGGCAGGCAGGCAGGCAGGCAGGCGGCAGCGCACGAACAAGGTAGGTGCTCACCAGTGGCGGGAAGGGCAGGCGCACGACGATGGCAACGGCGGGGCCGCTACAGCTGCGGCAGAGCAGGGCCGCGTCGGCGGTAGGGCAGGTCTGCGACAGCTGCTGCAGGGCGGGGCCGTGACAGCTGCAGAAGGCTCCGCGGCAGCTGCTGCAGGGCAGGGCCGCGACCGTGGCAGGAGGCTCCGCGACAGTTGCTGCAGGGCAGGGCCGCAACGGCGGCAGAAGGCTCCGCGGCAGCTGCTGCTGGGCAGGGCTGCGACTGTGGCAGGGCGCTCCGTGGCAGCTGCTGCAGCAGCAACGGTGGCAGCTGCTGCAGCAGCAACGGTGGCAGCTGCTGCAGGGCGGCGTCCAAGGGCAGCCACGGCGCGCGAGGCTGCAGCGAGCTGTGCGAGCTGCGGGCATGGCGCGCGGGGCTGCAGCGCGAAGTGCGGGGCTGCAGCGCGACGCGCGGGCAGCGAACGCGGCGCGCGGGGCTGCAGCGCGACGCGCGTGCAGCGGGCGCGACGCGAAGGGTTGCAGCGCGACGCGCGGGCAGCGGACGCGACGCGCGGGGCTGCAGCGCGACACGCGGGCAGCGGACGCGACGCGCGGGGCGGCGACCTGGCCTGACGGGCCTACAGGGGCGGCTCGCGGGCCTGACGGGCTTGCAGGGGCGGCTAGCAGGCCTGACGGGCCTGCAGGGACGGCTCGCGGGCCTGCAGGGACGGCTGGCGGGCCTGACGGGCCTGCAGGGGCGGCGCTCTGGCCTGACGGGCCTGTAGGGGCGGCGCTCTGGCCTGACGGGCCTGCAGGGGCGGCTCGCGGGCCGGACGGGCCTGCATGGGGCGCCTAACGGGCCTGACGGGCCTGCAGGGGCGGCGCACGGGCCTTACGAGGCTGTAGGGGCGGCGCGCGGGCCTTACGGGCCTGCAGGGGCGGCGCGCTAGCCTAGGGCAGCAGTAGGCAGCGCGAGGGCTGCAGGACGGCGCGCGCAGCGCAGCACGTCACAAGGCAAGGCAGTCAGGCAGGCAGGCAGGCACAGGACAATACGTGGGGTAGCGTGGTAACCGCAACGGTAGGTGGGCCCGAAAAAAAAAACGGTCCTACGGACCTAGTGCTCTGAAACCATGTTAGAATCTAGCAGCAGGAATGATTGAACTATGGAAGAGTTGGGTACAAATATGAAACCCTAAAGTGGGTTGTACCCCATATTGGCTACCCCACTACAGCCTAAGCATGTATAGCAGATATACCGTTCGACATTATTGACAACGGATGCTAACGAATTTCTCTTGAAACTTGGCAGGTCGACTTCCAGTGGTCCCAGACAAGCGATCAAGTAGCAGCCAAAGCTGCTCCGCCCGAGGCCGCTGCTGTCATTGTTGGGGCTTCTGACATAGATGCTGAAGTTTCTGCTGTTTACATGAGTGTCAAGGCCTCCAATGTAATGCTCGAGTCTCCAACTGTTATCAAAACTATTGATGGCTCAGAGGAGGCAGCGTTCTGGTTGGGTATGGAGCCAGAGGAGGTGGCTCCTTCATTCCCGGTCACGGAGGCACAGCAGGGTGTGAAGGTGGGAGCAGAGGAGAGCAGCGGCTGCTGCAGGATGAGTCGCAGTGAGAGCAGCTGTAGCAGCCACAGTGCATGCCTCATCTCCTGGGATAGCTGCAGCTCCTCTTCCTCCTCTGCTCTCCGTGACCTTGACTCCTTTGCTGACAGCCATGGCAGCAGCGGCACGAACTTCATGGATGTGGAAATGGGGATTGGCCGAGGTTTTCCAGCAATGGGAAGGGATGGAGAATGGAGGCGAAGTATGTTGGACAGCCAGTGGGAAAGCGCATGTTTTCAAATCAGCTGTTTGAGGGTGGTGATGAGGAGGTTGCGAGTTTCAGCGACGTCATATTCATGGAAAGGGGAGTGTGAGTAAGGAGATTGGGCGAGGCTTGTGCAGTAGTGGTAAGGAGTGGAGCATGGAGGCGACAGATGCTTGGGAGCCAGTGGGGAAGAGGGTTTTTTCAATCCAGCTGTTAGGAGGGAATGGCGCAGAGGAGGGTGAGAGTTACAGCAGGCAGAGCTTTGGACTGGGTTTGAGCTTTGCTTTGGAGTGTGTGCTACATGACCAGCTGTACATGGATGAGGAGGAGAGGAGTTTCTTGGCAGCAACAGGGATTTCAGTTGGCATCGGCGACGACGACGGAGCACGACGGAGAATAACGGGCTCTGGCAGCCGAGTCGCTCTCCGGAGAAACAGGCACGACATTTCTAGGATAGGTTAGAATAAATGCCTGTTATGCGTGAGCATCTGTGGCTAGAACCAGAAGCACTGGACTGCCACTGCTGTTGTGTACAATAGGGTACAGTGAATATCTGTACCACATGTTTGGAGTGCTAGCATCCATAGCATCACAGGGCCTAGTCAGCATTACGGTATCAGAATCAGAAATCCAGCCGTTCATTTATTTCACTATGTACATGAATCACCCTCCCTTATGCCACTACGTAGATGAATCACCTCCCGAGTGCCCCTAAACTGAAGGCCTTATTGCAAGCTTAAGCCAGACAGATGAGAAGATTGAAAACGTAAGAAAAGCCCTGCATTCATGCAGTGACCATCAAGACAGCATCATGCCATTTCTACCGTAGGTGCTGTTGGTGGAGGAAGGTCCTGTGCTGTTGGTGGTACAGTACAGTACAGGGAGTGCGTGCGTCACTTGGTGATGAGGAGGCGCGTCATCTTCACTTGGTGATGATGAGGGGGCGCATCATGGAGTTGTCCACGTGCTCCAGAATGTGGCAGTGCCACACGTACCCCGGCCCGCGTGTTGCATCAAAGGGGAAGGGCGTTCCATCCTGCATGCATTGCACACCAGGATGGTCAGTTGGGCCAGTGGGCAAGACCAGGGCAGACAGTTGGTCAGTGCACAGCAGGGCAGTGAGTTGGACAGTGCACAAGTAGCTACCCAAACAAAGGAGGGAGTGGACAGTCTGACCTGGGAGTACCAGGGTGGGAGAGGGCTGACTGACCTGGGAGTACCAGGGCGTCCAGAGGGCTCACCTGGGAGTACCAGGGCGTCCAGAGGGCTCACCTGGGAGTACCAGGGCGTCCAGAGGGCTCACCTGGGAGTACCAGGGCGTCCAGAGGGTGAGTACGGTGGCGGGCGGCAGGATGGTGGTGTCCTTCCACCCGCGCTCATACGCCGCCACTGGCTGCTGGGCGGCAGTGAAGCAGGAGGGCAGCGACACGTTGGTGAAGGAGCAGGCGCCGCTGCTGTAGGCGACGAGGTCGAAGGGGCGGCGCCACAGCGGGCGGTGCTGAATGAGGTGCAGGTGGATGGGGTGCGCGTCGGGCGTCGTGTTGATCAGATGCCACAGCTCCTCCGTGTTCTGCCAGCACACTGGTTGGAGGGACACACAGCCAATGGCGGCGCAAGGAAGAAAAGAGAACAGGATGACCTCTCTGCTGAACAAACAATTGGGGCATACCGAAGCCAGCGAGAACGCATGGAGGAGAATCGGCACGTGTACTGAATAAGACTTAAGGGTGCCTGCCACGGCGTGTTCCCCTCCCTGGGGGTCTCAGTGGGCGAGGCATCCATGACTCAGCTCAGCCCCAGCGCTCACTCACCTCCCGGGGCGTCTCAGTGGGCAGGGCGCTGTAGGGCAGGCCGTCCAGCAGCAGGCGGATGGGCAGCCCGGTGGCAGGGTCGCTCTCCTCCACAGCAGTGATCCACCGCTCCAGCACCACCTGGGATGTGTCCACGGGGGGGACCGGCTGGCGGGTGCACAGAGAGAAGGGGAATGATTTCTGAGTCGACCAAAAATAGGCAGCCCAGTGGCGGGGTCGATTTATTCCACCAATGTGATCCACCTCTCCAGCACCACCTGGGATGTGTCCACAGGGGGGACTGGCTGGGGGGCGCGCAGAGAGGGGAGGGAGGGGGAGAGGTGGCGAGAGAATGAGGCGCGGGGTACATGAGATGCATCAGCAACAGCATTTAGGCAAAAAACCAAACGATTTCCCCAGGGGAAACGGCACAGAGACTGTACACCCAAGCAGGGGCGGGCGCACTCACAACGAGGGTGTTGGGGATGCGCGGGGCGGGCAGGCGGGCGCTGTGGTGGTCGACAATGAAGCGCATGACAACGGCCGTGTCGTTGGTCACTGGCTCGCCCGCAGGGAAGGGCGCCCGGGCGTCGTTGGTGAGAATGACGTCAGCACAGGAGGAGCGCAGCGAGGAGAAGTCGACCAGAATGTCGTAGCGCTCCCCCGGCGCCACCAGCAGGGATGTGCGCACTGCCGGGCGAGGAAGGTATCCCCCGTCTGACCCGATCTGACCAGTGGTGGACGGAGGGGTTGGAGGGGGGGGGTGCAGGGGGAGTGGGCGGGAGGAGGGGCGCAAAGGGAACGAGATTGGCGAAATGCGGGGGTTGGTATGGAGTGGTGCAGAGTGGTGCGGGGTGGTGCAGAGTGGTGCGGAGTGGAGCAAAGTGGGTGCGGCGCAAGTGAGGCAAATCACATCCAGCACGCACCACAATGATGGGCAGCTTGTCGCCAGAGAAGGGCGGAGTGAAGTGGGGGTAGTTGCGGGGGGTGGCGCAGACAAAGCGCAGATTGAAGAAGCACGTGTTGGCCGCCCCCAACACCCGGAAGCGGTACAGCGCCCTCCTCACGTTCAGGTACGGCCACACCTGCCATGCATGGCGTGCAGCAGGGTGGGGGAGAGCGAAAGGGAGAGGAGGGAGATGAAGGGGAGAGGAAGATAGGGGTCAGAGAACAGGCAGGCAGCATCTTCCCCGTGACAAAAGCAAAGATAGACGGGAGAAAAGGGAGCAAGCTAGGTTGAGAGTGGGAGTGGGAGTGGGAGTGGGAGTGGGAGTGGGAGTGTGGGAGCGAGATGAGCAGAGGGGTGAGGGCAGCTCCTTGCCGGTGACGAGGATTTTGTCTCCGAGGTATTCGGGCACCCAGTGGGGGTGCACGCGCGGCACCACGCCCTGGCTCGGGTAATCAATGGACCCATTAGCAAAGAACCTTCGGTCCGACAGAGCCAGCGGCACGCAGAACTCCCCCTGGGGCAGCCACTGGAGGGTCCTCTCCACGCCACGCGGGTCCGTGAGGACAAAGAAGCCGGCGACGCCAGCGGCGACGTTGAGGCGGGTGATGGCGACGGTGTGGTCGTGGTACCAGAGTGGTGGGCAGCTGGTGGTTGGGGTAGCGGTAGAGGCGCGTGCGGAAGGCGCGCCCCACCTCGCTGTATTGGGTGAACCACGCCTCGGGATGCCCGTCTGAGAAGGACGCCTGCTCGCCCCCGTGCCGGTGCGTCACTGCAAGGGGGGGGGGAAGGGAGTAGAGCAGAGTGAGCAGAGGGGCGTGAGTGAGCAGAGGGGCGGGATGAGAGGAGGAGCAGGAGAGGAGAGGCAGCACGTGCACGGTGCACCAACTCTGCAGTGCAGTGGACTCTACATGGGGAAGCGCGGCTCACCGATGGGAATGCCGCCCAGCAGCGGGCGGGGGACGTCGTCAAGTGTGTAGTCGACGGGGAACATGTGGTGGCGATCCGTCAGGTGGTTCTCCCAGTACACCTGCCACGCCCACCCGCGAGAACAGCACACAGTCCCGGTCAGCACAGTCAACATAATCCCGTGCAAACTCAGCACAGTCCCGCACACTTCCAATAGGCACAATAGTAGAACCCGCAGCAGAAACATGAGAGAGCAGCGGCGGGAGGGCGGGGAGGCGGGCGGGGAGGCGGCGGTACCTGGGTGGGCACGCCGCGCTGGGCGACGAGCGTGGGGCCGGGGTAGTGCGCGGTGGCGGCGCTGCGACCATACGCGTACAGCTTCGTGGGCGGCAGGCCGCGGTGCAGCTTCTGTAGCCGGACGAAGGGGAGTGGGGGGAGGGTGTGGGAGAGGCGTCAGGAAGGGGCGAGCGGAAGCGAGTTCGGGGAAGCGAGCGCGCGGGAAGCAAGTGCGGGAAAGCGAGGCAGAAAGGGGAGTAAGGGGAAGTGAGCAAGCGGAAATGCGTGCAGAAAGGCAAAGGGCGGAGGGTGAAGTTGGGGAACTGGCCTGGGGGATCTGGTAGGCGCCGATGCGGATGGGCGCGGCGGAGGAAGCGTCGGGAATGGAGTCGCGCAGATCGTCCACGAACTTGCACAGCCGCGGGAAGCTGCTCTCGCACTCCCGCCCCGCCACATGCGTCCCCGCTACAGCCACCAACGCGCCGACGCACGCGGCGACTGCTGCGAGGAGCAGCGCAAGGCGGAGACGCGACGGGAGAAGGGCAGGGAGAGGCATGGCTCGTGGTGGTGCGATGGAGGGCGCTGCGGGAAAGGAACGGCGACGAACGAGACGGACTGCTGCGGTGAGTGGCGCAGGCTGTACTCGTAGCAGGTCGGGCTGTTAACGAGTGAATGCGACACTCGGTTGATTTGCAAGAAGCGAGCACAACGAGAAGATTATTTAGCTCAAACGGCACTGGGCCACCACAGTGCGGATTCGACATAGTGCTCTTGCGATTAGAGGGCACTATTGCTGGAAAACGTCGAGGCGTGTTGGGACGGTTAGGACAGCCTGCGGGACGCATACCCTGGCCTCTCGTGCGCCTTGGGATTGCACCGGTGACAGCAAGCCGCCTCCGATACGTAGATTGCATACTCGCCGTCGATTCGGCTCTGGAGACACTCTGATCAGATCGACATCCTCGCAAACGGCCATATCGACGTTGGTCGGACTAGATTGACAGACTCTGATCCGATCGCCAGCGCATTCAACGGCAGCCTGTGGGGCTGTCAGCCTAGTGAGCTCCGTGATGGCAGCCTTTCCCTCGCAGCGACTGACCGTGATTGCTCTACCTACAACGCATCATCATACAGTCAGCATATGATTGATAACGCGTTATGAGTCAGCTTCTGTACACGTGGTACGGTAAAATTATGCAACATTGAGTTTGCGCTGTGTAACTTATAAACTCATATGTTTTCCAAATATTCCCATTGTCAAATAAAGCATACCGTACCTTTGTCCTGTATGCTGGTTTCGGAAAAGACTGTAACCGAAACTCGATTGATGGTCGATCTTGGAATTGTCATTGAACTTGTACATTTGTTGTCCCCATTACAATTCACGGTTGACTCACCTAGGATCTGCCTCAGGATCTCCCAAAGCAAGCTTGGTATTGAGAGTTCAAAGCCCGCCTGGACTTTTAATTTGCGTTTTGCTGCAGAAGTTTTGCCTGAGTTGCTGTTGTGATATTGTGGATGATATACAGATTCTGGTGCCAAACAAACCGCACCCTTCCAATTCTATGTTTTATTCAACTCAGCTCCCAGTTCTCAGCTGAGCATCAACTCCCTCGCAGCTCGCCTTGCAGAACCCCTCAAGTATGGTAGTAGTACCCTTCCTCACTAAGGCACCTCACCAAGACATATATTGCCTGCGGTGCCAAACAGACTGCAACATTCTCTCTCTCTATTTTATTCAACTCAGCTCCCAGTTCTCAGCCGAGCATCAACTCCCTCATCCTGCAGAGCCTCAAAATTGTCACCTCTCACCAAGCTAGCCACACCATCCTGGAGTCCATCTAACCCATCTAAACCGCATTCAACCGCTTGTGCGCGTAACACCACAGGCGGGTTCATAATGTCACCACGGCTCTGAACGAGACAGAGCTCAAGGCGCTTGGGAGTGGGGGGAGTGGGAGAGGACTCGGTGCTGTCTGGGGGTTGAGAGTGGTGCTGTAGGGTGCGTACGAGCACAGCCTGTAGGGATGGAGAGGGGGAGAGGAGAGGCTGATGGAATCATGGAGCTCTGAACGAGACACTCAAGGTGCTTGGGAGTGGGGGAGTGGGAGAGGAATCGGCGCTGTCTAGAGCTACAGAGTGCTGCTGCAGGGTGCGTGCAAGCACAGCCTGTAGGGCGGGAGTTAGGGCAGGGAGTGGAAGCACGTTGGGAAGAGTTGGTATTATGTAGGGTGCGAGTAAGCACGGCTTGTGGGGAGAAAGTGGAGAGGAGTGGAATGAGAAGGCTGATGGCATCATGGGGCTCTGAACAAGGCAGAGCTCAAGGTGCTTCAGGGCGGGGGGAGTGGGAGAGGAATCGGTGCTGTCTAGGGGTCGAGAGTGGTGCTGCAGGGTACGTGCGAGCACAGCCTGTAGGGAGGATGAATGGGAGGAGAGGAGCAATCAGGAAGGTTGCAATGCCACGGGTTGCCCCTGCCAGCTCTGCTGATATGGCTTGCCTCAAAGATCAGGACAACCCAGGAGCAACACACAATCGCATCCGGTCCAGGCGAAACTGCTCAGCTCAGCTGTATGGATGACAATGCCAGCTCTGCTGCTGAAACAGGACAGCTAGTCAAGCATAAAGACACACCAGAGCAGCAACAAACAGTAACACTAGGCGCAACAGCAGTTGCTCACCTGCACGGATGCCACTGCTAACTCTGCTGCTGAAACAGAACAGCAGCAACAAACTATAGCACCGGACGCAGCAGCAGTTGCTCACCTGTAGGGATGCCACTGCTAGCTCTGCTGCTCTAGCCAAGTCGTGCGGATTCCTCTGATGAAAGAGAGGGAGGGCGGAAGGGGAGGGGAGGAGTGAGGGAAAAAATGTGGGATCAGGGAGTAAGTTGTTGTAACCAGCACTGTGAGATGTCACAAGGGGACTTATGAAGGATTGAGATGCAATGAGACGCCTGCCATGCAACTGCCCCACTCACATGCAACTGCCCCCACTCACATGCAACTGCCCCACTCACATGCAACTGCCCCACTCACATGCAACTGCCCCACTCACATGCAACTGCCCCACTCACATGTAACTGCCCCACTCACATGTGACCATCCAAGCAGCAACGCTGTCATCAAATCTCCTGTTCCCTGCCGTGCATTTGGGATGGCACGTGGGATGGCACGTGGGATGGCATGTGGGATGCATGGGGGATGGTTTGGGGGATGGGATATGAAAGGCATGTGATGTGGCATGTGAAAGAGCATGTGAGATGGCATGTGACGTGGCATGTGGAATGGCAGGTGGGATGGCATGTGGGATGGCATGTGGAACGGCATGCGGGATGGCATGTGATGTGAAATGGCATGCTGTGTAAGGCATGTGATGTGTGGGAATGGGACATGGCAAGAGGCATGGAAAGTGTTAGAAAGATTGCATGTGCTATTTCAAAGCTACTGGTGATGATGCACCTGGAACCACATGATACGCACATGGTAACCGCATGATACGCACATGGTAACCACATGATACGCACATGGTAACCACATGATACGCACATGGTAACCACATGGTGCACGGATGATCACTCATGGGAACGTAGGTAAGCGCGCTTATAGAGAAAATCACTGCATTGCGGGATAAATGGTTGAAACTTCTCAAAAAAATAACAAAATTGTAATAGTTATGAGTGCCTCCCCACTGACATCCCTCACAGCTTTGGTTACACCTTGGGATAGCCGCCTCTCACTTATAGCGTAACACAACTTCGCAACAACCCAGCAGGGACAAGGAGTGAGAGCGACCGTCAAGTACTCTCTGGTTGGTACCCAGTGCCCCCAGGTAGGAACTCGTGATTTCTTCTCTGCTTGATCAAGTACCAGAGGCAATCATGCTCTTTACTCTGGTTGGCCTGCTGAAAGGCACTCATGACCTTTCACTCTGGGGCCACTGAGTATTCTGCATTGACCGAAGACCTTCTTACATGCTACGATGAAGAATACATATTACATATACCTTAAGTCGGGGAGACAGAGAAGAAGAGTGGAGTGCCATGAAACTTGAGATGGTCCAGTCCGGACCCCCACCCGGGCTGGGTGGATCTGGTTCCCACCCGGGATGGTCCGGACAATCTTGGGCACGGCGTGTTTTGTGTCAGCTCGAAGTAGACCTTCTTACAATGAAGATAGCATGAGTCCGAGCGTGTGAGAAGGAGAGGGGGAGAAGGAGAGTGTGAGATGGAGTGTGAGAAGGAAAGTGTGAGATGGAGTGTGAGAAGGAAAGAGTGAGAAGGGGGTGCCATACAGTGAAATACTCGGGTATCTTGGGCACTGCTATGCAGAATCGCCGCAAGGAATGTGATCCAGATGCTCCGGATGCTCTGGATCCCTCCTGATATAAGTTTGCGGATTGAGGGTGGCAAGGGCAGGTGCAAATAGAGGGGGGCTAATTAGTGACAGAGAATGAATGGAGAGTGAGAAAATAATCCAGAAAAGGGCGAGGAAAGATGCATGCAGGCGGGTGAAGCGACGAGGGCAGGGGGACAGGAAAACAGACATCTGTCTCCCGAGGTCAGGACAAGGGGCTCAACGCTGCCCTGCCAACGCTGCCCGAAAAAGAAGTTGCCTCACATGCCAGCCACCCTGTCGTTTTAAACCCTCCCCATACCGCCTCACCCCCCTCCTCTGCAGCATGGAAGCCATTTCACTCCCCATGCCAAAACGAACACCCCATGCCTTACCCCATGCCTCCTCACTCGCATCCTCTCACTCAAAACTAGCTCTTGCTGCCGTCTCACCCACCCCTCTGCAGCATGGCATCCATTTCACGTGCCAAAACCAACACTGACCACCAGACCGACACTCCCCATGCTGCCTCCCCCACCTCCTCTAACTCTTAACCAGCTCTTGCTGCCGCCTCACACACCTCCTCTGCAGCACCGCACCAGCAGCAGTATGTCCAGGCCAGGTGTGTTCTGAATCGCCTAAAAAAAAAAAGCCAATAACAAGTTTGACATTTCACATGCCGCCTTACCTCACTCACCTCCTCTGCAGCAGGGCTATTGGCGTCACTCCCCACCACCAGGGCAAGCAGCATGTCCAGGAGTAAACTCAAACCACACCTCACGCACCAGACCAACACCCTCCATTTGCCGCGTCACCTCACTCACCTCCCCTGCAGCAGGGCTGCTGGCGTCACTCCCCCCACCAGCAGCACAAGCAGCAAGTCCGGGAGACGTCGTAATACACACATCAACAACAGACCAGCACCCTCCATGCCGCCTCATCTCACCCACATGCTCTGCACCACCCACATGCTCTGCACCACCCACATGCTCTGCACCACCCACATGCTCTGCACCACCCACATGCTCTGCACCACCCACATGCTCTGCACCACCCACATGCTCTGCACCACCCACATGCTCTGCACCACCCACATGCTCTGCACCACCCACATGCTCTGCACCACCCACATGCTCTGCACCACCCACATGCTCTGCACCACCCACATGCTCTGCACCACCCACATGCTCTGCACCACCCACATGCTCTGCACCACCCACATGC